GGGAGGGCCAGAGGAACCGCTCCCACCCCAGCTCACCTCCACTCCACTGCCGCCTGCTCCCCCGAGCCTCCCCCCACTCCACTTCTCCCCCCTCCCTCCCAGGCTTGCCTGGGACAGGAGGGAGGGGTAGGAGGGGAAATGCAGCGTGCCCAGGGGAGGAGACGGGGCCTAGGATTTGGGAAAGGGGTTGGAATGGGGCGGAGTTGGGGAGGGGTGGGGGGCACGGGACATTTTTTTTGCTTGGGGCGGCAAAAATCTTGGAGCCGGCCCTAAGAGGAAGACACAAGAAACCCAATAATGGAATAAACCAGAATCTAGAATTCAAATGTAAAATTGCCTTTCTTGTGCTTAAAAATAAACCACATAGATTCATAGACTCTAGGACTGGAAGGGACCTCGAGAGGTCGAGTCCAGTCCCCTGCCCTCATGGCAGGACCAAATACTGTCTAGACCATCCCTGATAGACATTTATCTAACCTACTCTTAAATATCTCCAGAGATGGAGATTCCACAACCTCCCTAGGCAATTTATTCCAATGTTTAATCACCCTGACAGTTAGGAACTTTATAGAAATGTAGAATCAATGTGGAATTTCAGAATAAATTTGAAAATCATGATACTGTACAAGTAACCTGCCATGGAGAAAAAAAATTCACATGGTACATCAAATAAGTTCACCTAAATAAGTAGTTTAATTAAGGCAGAATTTAATTAATTGACCAGCATTTCCAAGTATCATGATAGGATTTATGTTTCTATTTCCACGTACTAGTCCAAGAAAGTCTTATGCATATGCTCAACTTTACATCTGTGAGTAATCCATTTGAAGTCAATGAGACTACTCACATGCATATAATTATGTCTGTACGCAAGTTTGTGCAGGATCAAGGCTTCAGTGACCAGTTTTCACTTTCTCCAACATATATTCAGTAGTTTACTTTACAGAATCTTAATGTACCTCCAGAAATAAATCTTTCCTACAAGTAGCTGTATACTTTAGAAGCACCAATTCTGTCTTGATATACTCATTTCTTATTCTGTCACGCAGCAGCATCCAAACCTGATGTAAATAATGCATTAAATTTGTTGGTAATACTCAAA